TAATAATAATAATATATATAGAATAGATAAATAGATAAATAGATACATAATAATGGAGATGAGGGGTATCGATCCCCTTGCCCTTCGCATGCGAAGCGAAAGCTCTACCAATTGAGCTACATCCCCTAAGGTAATAATAGAGATATAAGAAATGAGAGATATAGGAAAGGAATAGATATATAGAGAAATAGATATATAGATAATAAAAAGTTAAAAGTATATATAAGAATAAGACAATATATATAAGATACAGTTAAAAGAATGCATCCGGTGGGGTTCGAACCCACGCATCTTGCGATAGCCGTTCTTGAGACGGCCCCCTTAGACCACTCGGGCACGAATGCTTCGTTATAGAAAGGGAAAAGAGTAAGAAAATGAATAGGAATAGTAATAATAATAAAAAGGAATAAAATACATAATAAGGTGTACATATACATAAGGGTGTATAAGTTGTATAAGTTGTATAAGTTGTATAAGTTGTATAGATAAGAAAGATAGTATAAGTAGTATAAATACTAAGATACATATATAATAGAAGTAAAGATAATATAGTAAGAAGTAGAATAAGAAGTGTATAAGTATAATAAACATAATAAACATAATAAACATAATAAACATAATAAAGAACATAATAATAATAAACATAATAATAATAATAATAGAAATAAGAATATAGATATATATAATATAATAATATATAAAGAAACATATAAGTGAAGTGTATAAAAAGAATGCATCCGGTGGGGTTCGAACCCACGCATCTTCCGATAGCCGAGCTTAAATCGGCCCCCTTAGACCACTCGGGCACGAATGCTTTGATATATAAATACAGAAATAATGAAGTCTATAAAACTATAAAGGTATAAGTCAGACTATAAGATACACACATATAGTATAGACTAGTAATAATAAAGTGATAAAGTGATAAAGTGATAAAGTGATAAAGTGATAAAGTGATAATAAGGAATAAGTTAATAAGTAATAAGTTAATAAGTTAAAGTGTAGTAGTATAAGTATAGAGACAGACATAGTATAGTCATATATCATATAGATAGATATAAAATAGATAAGT